TAAAAAGTGATGTCGATATTCAATGTATTGGTAGTTGAGGCAAGATTAAAATTCCATTCCTCGAATAGTTTTCGGAGAACATTCATTTTCTCTATAATAATTTAACAAAGTCGTTGATCAATGTCAATGAACGTGATTATATTCAAATAGTGTTTAAATATAATTAGTTAAAGTCAACTAGGAAGATGAGATAAAATGATTAAGTTGTTCAGATAGACACAAGTTCAAAGTCATAAAACTTGATATAGTGGTTTATGAATGAAATGACTGTATCACTATTGATTTTATAACAAGGGATTGTTTGTTTGTTTTGTTAATGTAAATGTATACCATATTCATAAGAGTCATAAATTAGATTTATGTTAATATATGAATGCATATAAGGTTACACGAAATGCAATCATCAATTTTCTGACTAAAAGTGAATAGAGAATGTTAAACATTCAATTAGATTGTAATATGAATTTATATGAGCAATGAGATTATTTTTTATTTGATAGAAAATATTTAATTAAGCTAAATTGAATTTATAAGTAATTATCATTTTAATTAGGGTCCATTTACATACTGGGCCATAGGGTGTGACAAGACTCATATGATTAGATTTGACGTAATTATATATATCTCATTATCTTCAAGATCGAAGTTGTGAGATAGAGATCATGAGGTTAAGACATCGAGAAATCACAAATCTTAGAGGTTGAGAGATCAAGATCAAGACACAAACACTCTCCAACGTTCTTACTTTCTACATCGAGTATTCCTAGCTTATTTTCTAGATCAATTCATTAGCATTGGATTGTGCATCGGAAAAAAAATTATGTGTATACCATTGTTAAGGACAAAACTTATGACTAACACTATTGATTATTCACACGGTCTAGGGACATATCGATCTTCTTTATTGGGAAGTAAAATTTTAAAATCCTGTTACATAAGCGCTTTTTTTGGACGTCTAAATTCCAACAGGTTGTCTATGGGGTGGTTGTTCGGCCACTTAGTCGCAACTTTATGATTGGAAGAGAAAGGTGTAAATACATAAAATGTGTGGCTAATTAAATGGCGCCACGTGAAAATTAATATTAAAAATCAAGTCATACTTTCTATTAATATTTTAGGAATTTCTATAAATTTAATTCCTAAATGTAAATTGTTAATTATTTTATATTTTAATACTAACCAATCAAATAATGTCCTGTGTCAAATTTTATTTCTTGGTAAATAAATCACATATCTACTTGTAAATTTTATGAAAAACATAAAACTTTTGTACAACTTGATTTATATTTCGATCAAACGGTATTGCGGATTATAATCTCTATTTTTCCTCTGATTCTTCTCTTCATGAATTTGTGTTTGAGATCTTGAAAGATGGATTTGACGGTCGAATCTCCTTCGGGCTTGGTCTTGAATTTCTCTAACATTAATTTAGGGGTCGAATGACTTATTCCCGTATTAAATGTTAGGCCTTGACTTGGTTGAAGAAGTCTTCTTGGAGGACTTGATTCTTTGATCCTCTTAAAGATGGATTTTGACTTGAATAACGTTGACTCGAGGGCTAGATAGCTTTTTCCCAGATCAAACGCTATGTTGGTTAAACTTCTCAACGAACATGGCTTGAATGTCGCTTGAATGCTATTGATATTCTTGAGAGGAGTTGAAGTCGTCTTTTTATTTCTTGGGGAAGAGTCGCCGCCTCTTTTTCTTCTTTTTGGCTTTCTTCTTCATTGAATGGACTTCGGGCGGTTCTTCAAGAACTTCTTCAAATCTTCAAGAGGGTTCTTGAGAGCTCTTGAATTTGAGACTTTAATCTTTGAGATGTGTTTGATATTTTTGAGGTGTTTGAGGTGTTTGAGGTGTTTGAAGTGTTTGAGGTGTTTGAGGTGTTTGAAGTGTTTGAGGTGTTTGAGGTGTTTGAAGTGTGATTTGTGGCATTGGGGAGAGACCTATTTATAGGTTTAGGAGAGAGAGTCTTGGAAAAGAAGATATCAATTTGATTGGTCCTTCTTGATTTGATATAATCTCTTTCCTTATCCCAAGATTTGATATAATCTCTTTCCTTATCCTAAGATTTGACTTGTTGGGCAAGAAATAATAATTTTATTAATTAAAAATCTTATTTATCATGGATTTATGTCCCAAAATAAATAAAGACATTAATTAATAAAATATTAAAATTTTGATGTCTACACTACTAGAAGGAGATTTTAGTATATAATCACATATCTTATAGAATATCTTTGGAGATTTAAGTAGATCTACAATATCTTATGTAAATCGTCATGGACCAATCGAATCGCGTCCTACTTCTTAAATTTGGTAGGGTTTAAAAAAAATAAACATCAAAACTCATATTCAAGTTCAAGAGCTCTAGAGATTCTCTCGACGAGAGTTAAGTGTTTTTGAAAATTTAAAGGCACGTTCATCCTTAAGTCTGACGCCTAATCCGGAAACAAGCTGTCAAGCCTCCGAATTGTGTTAGTAAACTCAAAACCCCAAATAGAAAGATTCAAGTGCGTTTAACCTTAAGACTGACGTTTAATCCAGAAAGTAGCAGTCAAGCGTGTTTAACCTTAATACTGACGTTTAATCCGAAAAGAAGCAGTTAAGCCTCCGAATTGCATTAGTAAACTCAAAATCAGCGCGGAGAAGATCCAAGACCGACATTGCGGCGAAGAGAAAGTCAAATCAAGTCAAGGCGTTGACCATCATATTAATGATAATTCAAATCAAATCAAGTCGAGGAACACAAAATTTATTGTTACAAGAGGTTAAGTGAGAACAAAATCATGGCCTAAAAGCCCTCACCCACCACCTGTAGTTCACCGTCATTTTTTCTCATTGCATATGTTCTTGTGTTTCTTGTGTGTTGTGTACGAGCTGTAACTAAAATTGAGAATAATTTGGAATAGTAATTACCGTGAAAAGTATTCACAAGAATTCGATTATTATTATTTTTTTTCGTACAGAGAGTCCAGTGCCAAGTACCAGAATCGGTATGTGTCGAGGGTACAAGACCCAGACAATATTGTGGTGTAACCATTCTCGAACCTCATCCGACGGAACATCAAAAGATTGGACTCCACCAAGGCCCCTTGTAGCCATTCTCGCCATGCAATCCGCGACAAAGTTGGACTCTCGGAATCCATGGCATATCTTCACCGACCATTGCATCTTCAACAAATCCTTAATGGTCAAGATTAAAGCAGTGT